CCATGTCAGGCTGGAAAATTACTGAAGGATCTGTCTTCAAATCATAGATGATGTAAGCATAGCAAAGCTCCCATGTGAATGCCAAACTCTGCTTTTTGCCATAGTTATTTTTTAGTGTTATTATTTGACAGAAACAGAGCATTTCATTTTTGAATCATGAGAGAAGTCGTTCACCTTAAGTTTATGGAAAAATTCCATCATTCCATTATTAAATCTTTGGTACCTCAAATACAATGAGCAAAGAAAGAAATCAAATCGAATCTGCTACTAAAGTCTGGTTAACTTCACACACCTTCGGATTTACGTTCAGGAGGTTAAAATGGGAAGATTCCAACCCTGCAAATAGATCCAACCTAGATAATTCTCTAAAACTTCAACAACCCTATAACAGGGGAGGAATGCCGTGCTTCCAGCTGTAGGATCTTCGTGTTATGGATCGGGGCAGGATGCTGAGTCCAACTATCTCCTTGGGAGCTCGGCTAGGTTCGACAAACCCGAACAACTTAGCCACTAAGGCAGCACTCTCCTTGACATGGCCCATGTCATTGGTGTCTGTCCAAACACGGCGTGCCAGCTGTAAACTCCTCTGCTTTGTGTCCAACCCAATACCCCACTTCTTGAAGAGTTCTTCCCTCTGCTTTCCTGAGAACTTCTTCTGTATTTGCTTGCTCAGCATTCCCCTCTCACGAATCAAATCCTTCACACTGCGACCACAGAAGAATACTATTACTATCAAGATTTGCATGGCATTAAAAGGGAATTGTGTAAAGCCAGTTCGTTTGTATTCAATCAGATCCAAAATGTTCAGTAATTCCATTGAAGTGCAGACGCGTGATGTGTGAATGTGCATGTGTACTGTTCAACTCATTAAGAGGGAATCTTTATTTTACCTTGAAGACGTTGTGTCAAGAGGAGTATTTGTCCGAGCATTTGTTCCGGATGACATTGAGTTCTTTATAAAAGACAACCTTCGTAGCTCTACCTCCATATACACAGAATCGGAAGGATCACCTTTGAAAAGCAGGATGAAATATGTTCTGTGGATTAATGGTACACTGCATGCATCCCAAAGTTGAATAATCTTTCTCTGCTGCTTTTCAAATTCTGAGGCCCAACTAGAGGGCAGTTGCATGGCATCCTCCATTTTTCCCCCGGAATTATCAGTCTTATCTGTGGTTTCCTGAGCCTACCATATATAACAATTCCATGGTAAAGGATCTAGGTTAGTAGCCAAATAAACATGCCAAAATCAATCATAATAGGTCTTTTTTTTGGGTACTCGGGAAGTATCATCATAGGATCATACAGCTGTTCCTAGAGTTGCATGAAGGAAATCTGGCTATGCACATGTGCAACCTTTATAACTTTTGTATGCATGGGTTCGGTGCAAGACAAGAACAAGAGTATTTTTGGCAATGCCTACTAACAATCTCTATTCACTCTAGTCCAAACCTGTGGTGGAGAGGACAGCTTGAACCTTGGGAATACTATCTATCAAAGCAGAAAGGTAGTTATCAGAATCTTTTATTTCTAGGCAATTTGTGTTCATTTTGAAAGAACAGAATCGTGAGGACCTAAGTGATATGAAAAAGAAGATTATAATGTAACCAAAGAAACTATAACAGCTAACCTGTAAAAGATTGATTTCATGAGAATTTAGTAAAATGAAAAGCGTAAGGGAGGTTCATCTTCTCACCGTATTGTTACCAATTTGCTTTTCTGACTGTAGTTTCGTTTCAATACCACCTGCAACAAAATCAGGGGAGGAGGCAGTTCTTCTTCTCACAAAATCATTGCTAAATGACTTCTCTGGTCGTGGAAGAAAATCAATTACACTACAATTGTCTTCAACATCTGAATCTTTCAGACTTTGTGCATCCCCAGAAGCACTGCTAAGAGAAGTTTGAGAATTTTTTCTGGACATAGTTCCATTTCTGTTGTCATAGTTAAGTCCAGAAAGCTTTTGGTCTAGGCCTCTTGGTCTTTCAAAGAAGTCCTTGTCAAACCCAGTGGAACGGGATGTGCTTTCATTCTGTTGTGCCTTCTCAAAGCAAGGTGAAGATGGCACAGTTGCGAGAACCGCCCTGCAGCTTCTGCTTCTGGTCATGCTCGAGGTACTAGAGCTAGATGCGTCTGAGAAACAAGGCGACTGCTCTAGATGATGAATTCTGACAAGAAATTTAACGGTCCTTTGCAATTCCTCAATTTTTTGTTTCAAAGCCTTGTAAGTTTCATCTCTATACAGAGGAGTTGATTGCAAATTTTCCTTTTGTGCGATTGGTAATAAATTTTCGTTCACGGCTCTAGCTATGTCTAATTTTCCTTGATTTTCCTCCGGGTCAGTGGAGAAGCCATCAGCTTCCAATTTATCCATACTTGACTCCATCATGGTTAATTTTCCTTCAATATCCTCAGGAACAGTCAGGAATTCCCCATCTCCTGTTTTCTTGGGAATGACCTCTGTCTTGGGTACTTTTCCAACCTTTTCCTCAGGAGCAATTGATAAACCATCAGCTTCTATTTCCTTGAGAACGGTCTCTGTCATGGCTGATTTTCTTTCCTGTTCCTCAGGGTCAATTGACAACTCATCAGTTTCAGTTTCCTTGACTATTGCGTCTTCCATGGCTAATTTTCCTTCATTATTGTCCAGACTCAAAGAGGAAACTTCTGCTTTTTCATTCATCTTAATGCTCGCGTCTTCGATTTCAATGCATCGAACTTCCTTGCAGTTATCATCAAATTGTTCATTCGTTCTATGAGCAATCTCCTCCCAACCTTTGCACGGATCAGGCCCAACAAACTTCGGAGTGCTGCCATCAAGCAGAAAATACTCTTCGGAGTTCTCAGGAAGCCCTAGATATTGGTTGTAGGAGCTCGGCACACTAGTTACACCAGCATTCCTATGTTTGTTGTAATCAACCATATACGGAACTTTGGCCACTTCTGATAATTTTGGTGATGAATATCCACCTTGCTTTAACATTTGAACTTCTCTTACTGACAGTAGCAAATTCTCAACTCGAGATTGAGCAAGATCACGTTGCCGAGTCAATTCTTCTATCTCTTTGGCCATCTGTACATTCTCAACAGTAAAAAAGCCAGGTTAATACAAGTGAATAGTTTAAGTCAGGGCATGTCCAACTTCCAACCACTCGTTATCTAGTTTTCCTAATTTCTACTTTCTTTACTTTCTTGTTTCCGTTCTAAAGAAATATGAACACTCTAAACCTGGCTTTCACGACTCAATATTGAAGTAACATATTGATGACAAGTTTCCTAAGCTCCTTTCAGAATCCCAAATAATAAATGTGGTGACAACCAAAAAAAAAAAAAAAAGCAGACCTTGTACCCTCAAGATATACTTGTAACTTTTCTGAGATGCAAAGATGTTATGGTTACATGTATGGGAATCACCTGCCCGATGAGCAGCTCTTTCTCTCTCAGCATTATAGCAGTATCACGTTTGTTTGAAGCTGATCCTAAGGTCTTCATTTCATTCTCGAGTCTAGCCAACTCTCTTTGTAATTGCTTTACCAATGCTTTGTCTGACATAACTAAATTGACGTGTGCATTTGTTGTCACCTCTTTAGCACAGCTTGCAAACAAGAGAGTGTTTCTCGATTGCTCAACATGACTGCGTGCAGGATTCATAGTGCAAATGATGGCTGTTCTCGCATTGCCTCCTAAGGAATTCTGGAGTATGCGTGTCAGCTTAGAGTCTCTGTAAGGAACATGTGCATTTCTTCCCTTGCTGCAAAATGTCGTGCCAGTAAATTGGACAGAAATAATATATGCTATATTTGTCAAGAGTTAAAAACACACATATGCCCTTCAATATTTGTTATAGAAAAATATATAAAAAAAAATTGATCAACCTTAATTTGCGAATCACGGTTCCAAGGGTTAGCAAACTCCTATTTATGTGGCAGCCCTCTTTCAATCTTGCACCAGCAGATAAGGTCTGAGAAGCACGCTCGCTTCCTGCTAAATCAACAAAATTCTGTACAAGAAAGGCAAGTCAAATGTTCAATGTTAACGCTTAAGTTACCAGTTCAAATCTGAACAAAGTTCTCTGTTATTTCATCAATTCCCATCTGAAACAAGATAACTGGATTGTTTACGAAGAAGTCAACTGTATTATACCACAGAAGCTGCAAGCATGCTTGAATTTTCAGCTCCAGCATAATCACGAGCAGAGCTTTCAACAGTCTGCAAGATTACATCATTGATCACAACAGTAAGACCAGGCACAACTCTGATAAAAAAAACAAAAGTTTACTCAAGTGGGGCATTCCTACCAGCCGCAAAATCTGATGTGATCTGGAGCTAGTTTCATTTAAAGAGGTCTCTCCTATCTGCCTTTGAGCTGCAGAAATGCGAAACGAAAATGAATATATAATGCCATCTATTGAAAAATGAAAAGTAAAAAGAAATTGGATAGAGTGCCATGAGTGTTTTCGATAACACCTTACCTTCACAGATTGAAAGGAGCTCCTGAAGATGGTCCCTGTCTCTGGGAGTCTCCTCAGTAAGTTTCTCCACAACAGTTCCCCTCTATTGAAGTGAAAACAAGTTATAAAAACGTTTATGCTCATTCAAATATATTAATATTCAGAATAGAAAGCATAAATGGGGGAAATTTTTACCTCTGGATCATCTAGGAGTCTGAGTGGGGTACTGTCAGAGCTAAGGAGGTCTCTGACAGCTTCATTATATATCTCCATGGCAGAGAATTTCACCAAAAATTCTCTCTCTTCATGCTGAGATATTGATGAAAACAAAATGTCATTTCCATTCTACATTCCCAAGAAACAAGAGTAGATAGACTCCAACTATAAAACCAAAAGATAGAAAAGGTGATCATAAATCTATAATTACCATCTCTATGTAGTCATATATATCTGCTACTGCATATTCAGTGATTCCACTCATTGTATATGTCTTTCCACTGCTTGTTTGCCCATATGCAAATATGGTTGCTGAAAAAAGAAACAAAAAATCCTCAATCAGTGAAAAGTTTTGCTTGATTATACAGCTATAAATATCAGGAAACAGAAACATTGAGACAATGACTACTTACAATTGATACCGCTGAGCACTGAAAGTGCAATCTGTTTAGCTCCTTCCCCGTACACTTGCCTTGTATGGGTGTCACAACCAAATACTCTGTCTATTCACAACAAAAATTAACGATAAGACAATGATTAGAAGATAATATCATATTGGAAAATAGTAAGGCAACGAAATGATTTTTTTAGAGACAAGCATATCCTTACCAAATGTATAGGCGGCAGGGAACATGGAGCGTTCGGGCAAGCTATTCTTGAAAACAATGGTGTCATTGTTAATGCATTCCCAATCAGATACACTGTGCCTCGCTCTGTCTTTCTCTTTCAAAGGCCTTAATCTAACCGAAACAAAAATTTTCTCTTCGTGTCCACTTAACCCCTGTTCCTGAACTTCCACCTCCTCACTCATTGTCCCCATATCTATCTTTAAACTCACAAACAGATCACCAAATTTTCCTTCGTTTTCTTTCCTCTCCTGGAAAGCTTACGTAAGGTAATGGTCTCAATTGTCTAAACCTGCCCAAGAAATCCTTCACGGGCAACGTTTTACCAAATGTGCTACCACGAAGCTTTGGAACCAACACGATTTCACTGAAATCATGCCGTTTCTTCCGCTTCGAAGCCTTTTTCTGTCTCTGTATTCTTTACGCTTCACAATACTGTCCTAGAAAAAAAAAACATAAAACCACGAGAAAATTTCAAATCAAAATGTAAGAATTAACATCTATGCTAACGATAAAATGAGAGAAAAAATCCAAAAAATTTGAACGTCAAACTTTTCTTTCTCAAATGCAAATTAAACAATCCTCTCACCTTCGAGCTTCAATTCAAGCAACAAAATAGAAAAAAAAAAAAAAAAGAGTGAGAGAAATCTCAATGGAAACGCTTCAACTTCTATATGCAATCAATCAACGCAAAATGGAATGAAATGATCTTAATTTGTTCAATCAAACGGATCCAAAAACGTTGGAAAAACAGCTCAAAAACAATCATCAAATTCCGTGAAAAAAGAAAAATACAACAAACTTAACTAAAAGTTTCTAACTCTTACAATGCGTTTCTGGAGAAAGAGAGTAGAAGAAGAAAATGGCAGTAAACAGCAAACGCAATGCCGTTGTTCTTCGCTTTGCCTCCCTCTCCCTCCGTTTCTCTTCCTGACTTGGAATCGTACCGACCTTTCAAATATAACCGCTACCGCTAACTAAAATCCGATGTGGCCTTACCGGTTTTGACCTTCACTTTGCCAAGTTTTAGCGCTTGTCGCTATCCCTTCCCAGCTGTCCAAGTACACGTGTCCACTACTTGAGCTCTTAGCTTTTGACGCCTCATATAATTCTCATGTGGGCTTGAAAACGGATTTCGGGAACATTTCCCGAATCCATTTTTGAACGGAAGTGTTATAATTTTCTTGCCCAAGCCCGTCCAATTGACCTATATTTCCCAAATCCACAAACTGTACATCATGGGACAAGGAATTGGGCTTGGATGGTGGGTCAATCCTTAAAGCAAAAAGGCTTAATTTGCTAAGAATGAGTAAAAATAGATCAAACTAATCACCGGATCAAACCGGACAAAATTTTGATAAAATGGTCTGATTTGATTGGTTCACTCGATGTTACAATTTATTCGATTAGTTTTTTATTTTAAAATTTTTATTGAAAAAATAATAAAAAGGTCTTAAAATTATATTATATTTATGTGTATATATTATATTTAAATGTTAATGTTGAAGACGTTAATGTTAAATGTTAGGATTTATGAAGGTATAATCAGTTTTTTTATTTATTATGGTTTGTATTAGTTTATTTATATTTAAATTACTTATATATTTAACAATTATAAATTAAATTTATAAATTTTAATATTGTAATATATAAAAGATAAAAATGACAAAATTTTAGTTTTTTTTTTTTTTAATGGAGTGAATCAAATCAATTCAATTTTTAGCCCACTCGATTCATTTTTTAAATTTTTATGTATAATAAATTAAAAATTAATTCACAAAAGAATAAATTGAAATTTAAAACTATATTTAAAATATTTAATAAATTTTAATAAATATTACATTTATTGTAAGTAATTAATTAATAAAAAAATAATATGTAAAATTAAAATTTAATATTTCAAATTATTATTTATAATCAAAATTCAAGTACTAGGTACGATTATACTCATTACCCAAACTCAAACTATTAATAATTTTGCTATCAAATTTGATTACAAAAACGTTTATATTTTTATAAACAAATTATAAACATATTTATTAGTTGGTCCTGGGGTGAATCCCCATTTCTGTCTTGCTCTGTTTTGTTTCCTTATAATTGTTTTTTCTTTACCACCTTGGTTTGTTTTTGTTTTATGTTGAAAACTTGGTGAGCGGTTTCATTACAACGGATGTCGTTTTGGCAATTTCCACTCGTTAGAAAAACAGCAAAGGGGAACGATAATTGCAGCCACGCAGCCAGCTGGCAGCTGCTCCACTTTTCGCCTCAAAATAAGCCTATTAGCCAACTGCCAACCGACCAGACTACACACACTCCCCATTGCCTTCCCTTCCAAATTTCATCTCCCACAAAAAAAAAAAAAAAAGGGTTTGCTTTTTGTGGGGCTTCATAGCCCCCACACCCTCATCATCAGAGCCAGAAAAATAAATTGAAAATGAATAAAAAATAAGAAAAAAAAGGGAACTCCATATCTCTCTCTATCTCTCTCCTTCTCTTCCTGTTCTCTCCTTTCCCTTTGGCTGCTCCAGATCCAATGAAACCAAAAGAACATCCCGAAACCCCCAAAATTGAATAAAAAAAATTAAAAACCCTAATGAATTGTTATTTCCTGTTCAAACTGTTCTAATTTATAGCCAACCTCTTTTTCATAAAGGGGAAAAAATCCCATCTTTCTCCTTTTTTTTATTTTTTTGTTGTCTTGGTCCCTCATTTCCCAATTTACAAGCTTTGGTGTTTTTCCATTTCCATTTCCAAGTTTCAAACCCTAGCTCAAAGAAGAAAAGGGAGAAGAGGAGAAAAATTTTAGAGACAATGGCGACAAGAGGGAGTAGATCAGAGAAGGTGAAGAGAATTTTCCAGCAATTCGACGCGAACCGGGATGGGGGTCTTAACAGAGACGAAATGGCAGCGTTGGTCGTCGCAGTGAACCCGAGAGTCAAATTTAGCGACGAACAAATCAACGCCATTCTCGACGAAGTGTTCCGGACCTACGGGGAGTTCATTGACGGTGAAAAGGGGTTAACTTACGAAGGTTTGTTGAGAACTTACGACGACGGAGCCGGTGACGTGGACCGTGACTTCGACGCGCTGGGTCTCGAGCTCAACTTCGACGAAAACAAAGGCGCGTCGATTGTTTCCGAAGCTTCTTCGTCGTCGATTGTGGATGAGAGAGTAATGGAGTCGCAGAAGAAGCAGCGGACGGCAGCGTGGGCCGTGTCGCCGCATCACGGGATAGTTTTCGATGACACGTGGAAGCTCGTTGACGATTTGGAGATTTTGGTGAAGAGATTGAAAGCAAAGCAAGCGAAAGACGGGAAATTCAAAAACGATAATTTTGATGCGTATTCGGATGCTGGGTGGTCAAGGGAATTAGGACCGTCTGCGGAGCTTTCAGAGAAAAGGGTGTATTGGGAAGAATCTGGGCATGATTATGCTGTTTTTGTTAAAGAATTGGGAGCTTTAAGGAGTAGAGCTGATGGAGCAAGGTCGAGAGAAGAAGCATTTGATGGCCACATGGCAATTGGGAGGGTTTTATATGAACATCAGTTGTTCAAAGAAGCTTTGATTAGTTTCAAAAGGTCTTGCGAACTGCAGCCTATGGATGTGAGGCCACATTTTAGAGCTGGGAATTGTTTGTATGTGTTAGGGAAGTATAAAGAAGCTAAAGAAGAGTTTTTGTTGGCTTTGGAATCAGCTGAGGCAGGTGGACATCAATGGGGTTACTTGCTTCCTCAAATTTATGTCAATCTTGGGATTGCTCTTGAAGGAGAAGGTATGGTTTTAAGTGCTTGTGAGTATTATAGAGAAGCTGCTATTCTTTGTCCTACTCATTTTAGAGCTTTGAAACTTTTGGGTAGTGCTCTTTTTGGGGTAGGGGAGTATAGGGCAGCTGTCAAGGCTTTAGAAGAAGCTATTTTTATGAAACCAGATTATGCTGATGCACATTGTGATTTAGCATCAGCTTTGCATGCAATGGGTGAGGATGAGAGGGCAATTGAGGTTTTCCAGAAAGCGATTGATTTGAAACCTGGTCATGTTGATGCTTTATACAATCTAGGTGGGCTTTATATGGACTTGGGTAGGTTTCAGAGAGCGTCTGAGATGTACACTAGGGTTTTAGCTGTGTGGCCGAATCATTGGCGGGCACAGCTCAATAAGGCTGTGTCCTTGTTGGGGGCTGGAGAAACTGAGGAAGCTAAGAAAGCTTTGAAGGAAGCTTTGAAAATGACAAATAGGGTTGAATTACATGATGCCATTTACCATCTGAAGCAGCTACAAAAGAAGAAGGTGAAGACTAACGGTGGTGCCAACGGGGAAGGGGCTTTTGTAATAGTGGAGCCATCAAAATTCAAGACGGTGGGTGAGAAGACTACATTGAGGCAGGATTTAGGAAGTGCTCTTGAAATTAGGGCCTTCCAAAGAATTACTAGATTGAGCCGCTGTGAAGTGGATCTTCTGAAGAAGGAAATGAGTGACACTGATGTACCAGTCTCCTACTCCGGTGGTGGCGGTCCTCAGAAATCTATTCGCAAACCTAATTTGGAAGAAATTCTACGCAGACTACTTAATTTTCTAAAACCTGAAACGTTCCAAGGAGCTGTCAAAGCCATAAATGAGAAAATCCTCTCTGTCTTGGATGAAACAGGATCAGGCAGGGTGGACTTGGGCATGTTTTATGCTGTTCTTGCCCCCATTTGTAGTGGACCTCCGGATAAGCGAAAACAGATTGCCTTTGATGCACTTTTATGGCGGCCGGTAAATGAAGGTGGTTCTCAGATTAGAAAGGTGGATGCTATTCAGTACATCAAATTGTTGAGGGCTATATATGTTCCTTCTCATGGAATAAGTGAAATACTGGAAATTCATGGAGAAACAGATTCCTCGATGGTGTCTTTCAATGAATTTCTTGTCATGTTTGACGATCCTGATTGGGGCTTTGGTATCATGTCCACTCTGATGAAGTTAGAAACCGGAGATAGGAATCGTCATGGACGCCAAGTTTGCTCTGTTTGCCGTTACCCAATTATTGGTTCTCGCTTTAAGGAAGTGAAGTCTCATTTTAGTCTATGTAACCAATGCTACAGTGAGGGAAAGGTGCCCACTAACTATAAACAGGATGAGTATAAATTCAAAGAGTATGGAAGTGAGGCTGAAGCGATGAAAGACAAGTGCATGTGCTTTAATTTGCAATCCCACAAAGATCTGTAGCTAGTTGGTTTAAAGTCTTTTTGCTAATCTTGTACCATTCCATTGTGTTATTTTAGTCATCCTGTGTGCATTGTGCAATATATAGCTCATCAATGTGTTCAGTGGGCAACATGCCCTTGTAAAAATAAACCGTTTTCAGGTGATGGCTCTAGTATCCTTGTTTCATAACAGTTGTTGTAGAGACATTTTTCCTCTTCCGTTTTTGGGAAAAAAGAAAATACCCTAGATGGTGTATATTCACTGTATCATCTTCTGCTCCTTTCTTTTTGGTAGTGTTAAATTTGTTTGGAGGTGTTAAATGGAGAAACAAATGTTATGCTTTTGGGGTGCAGGGCATTAATTCTGCTCAGACATTCTGCTTGAGTAGTTTGATATTCAATTGATGGATCTTTTATTGCTTCACCAATACATGTTCGCAGGTTGTGAATTGAGATATATAGTTTTGCCTACTTGACTCTTGTTATTGCATAAGGCAAACACATGTTGAGCATTTACTGTTGTTGGCCGGTGATTGCAGGCCCGGCAATTGAAGACAATTACAAAGCTTTATCTTTAAGAAAGAGAAATGATGCTTTCCTAGAGTTGTTGAAAGGCCAGGCCGCAATAAATGTAGTCAGGTAGAAAGAGTTGATTCTACTTCTGGTGTTTTTTGAGTCTTAAGCATAGTTCAAGCAATAAATAAAAGCTAGTGGTGTAATCCGAATCTGGTGCAATCTTAAACCGGCGTTGCCATTGTATGCTTAATAGTTAATAGTCATAAAGAGGAGATTGACTTACCATAAAATCATCATTCCGCCCTTTTTAACTGTAAGGTGGGAGGGAACAACAATAACTTCAGAGTATAAGAATTCTAACTGTGACATCAGCTTTCATTATTCTGATACTCTGGGCCATAATCTGTTGGTAATTGCAGGTAGTTTTTTATCCTTCAAAAATCTTTCAAATCTATTAATAATTCCATCTCTTAATCTCTTATTGGTTTCTTTGCCTTGGTCGTCTTCATCATAAGGATAGGTGGGGAAAGTGGTAGGTACCATCATTAGCTGGGACTTGAAGGAGAACAGGTAATACAGTTGACCAATTCAGAGTGCAAAGTATTGGGAGTCAAGGTCGGATTTTTCCCTTCCTATTAAATGATGGCGGTTTGACACTAAAAAGAAGAAACAAAACGATGTTTACAACTATGTAGTATCTAGAATATTTTCATTAAATATTCTGGAATGATTCACTAAATCATTGTGGATGACACTTTTTCCTGGCGAAAATTAGCAGGATGGGGAATTATCAAAAGAAACCAAGCTGGTTTCCTAGCGTAGTCATTGTCTGTTTGTATGTTTGTTGAATAATTGTACTATTACAGGAATAATATTTAGAACTGCATGAAGGACTAAAGGCTTACAAATGTCACTCTCTATGATTGAATCCAAGGGTCAAACCAACCATTAACTTTTATCGTTTAAAGTAATTTCTTTTTCTCCGCATCCAAACTCAAAATTCCAACAACTAAACACTTGATTCCAGCTTTTTCCATCAGGATCTCAACAGCGGGAAACTTGTGACATATATATATAACAGGGCATGATTGACTTCAGCAGCGCAATCCCCAAGCCATCAGTGTTTTATTTTTTAGGACTGAAACCTGCCTATTACAGAAAATATTATACAACAGGGTGCTCTTGCCAAATCCGTTGTAGTCTAGTTGGTTAGGATACTCGGCTCTCACCCGAGAGACCCGGGTTCAAGTCCCGGCAACGGAATTTTTCACCTTTTTAAGACTTCGAAAGGCTAGCGGTAGCGTACCCCCATCGATTCGATTGTAGTAGGCCCATAAAGAAATAGAACCTTGATCTGGGCCATTTCTTACGCAGAGTTGAAATTGAAATACTTTATGGATCGAATCTGCTGAATGTGATTAATTTGATTCGATTATTTTGATTTTCATCTTAAATCAATTAATAACATTGATTTTTTTTATTTATCGGATTGGTTTTTACATATTCAAAATCTATAATTGAATTGATAGAATAAACCCATTATTAAGAGTATGCTTTTAAATATTAAATATTTCAATATTTTTAAAAATAAAATCTTTATAAGTTGAATTTATCTTGATTAAAATGTGGAGATGAGTAATTTTATTTTTTCCTTGTAAAATGTTACTAATTAAAAATTATTTAAAAATTGATAAAAATAAAATTTGATTAATTTGATTTTAAAAAATTTGAAATTAATTGAATTTACGACCCTACACATAGGTATCATAGCAATTACAAGTAACTGAAATTAGCATTACTTCATTCTGTATGCATCAACATAGTTTGATTATTTAATATAAGACATAAGATGAAATTGTATATAAGTATATATAATAAATTATATTTAAATATTTGATTCATCGGTTGATATATAACTTTATATCTAAAAATTATGTATTCTAATTTCTTTTCTTTCAACAAAAAAAATATACGTATAACAAATTATTCCTATGTATTGGGCAACGGTGAAGACAAGCACGGGTACCTTCGTTTTAATGGCTCTATCGTCAATTAAACATACGGCCTCGAATTCACTACTTTTCATCCTTGAGGCAAAACATAGTACATAGATTAAACCACGACCCTTTCATTTCGTCACAACACTTTCGATCTAAAAAGAGTTAGCTTCAAATCAAGTACATGCAAAAACCATGACCTGTCATGTCATCTGTTGGTCATGAGCTAGGATGTTCAGTTTAATTCAAGCACTGCTACATGGTACAGTCGGACCGACATTAATTAGACAAATTAAACTCTATTTTGACAGGTGTAAACATCTCGTAGTAGTCTAAGACAGTTCCCGTACGCACGTTATAGGTTGTTAATATGCTTTCTGCGTGTTACGTAAGATGAATTTAATTATGTGATTAATTGTAATTAAATACAAAAAATATTAATGACGACTACTCGTTCTGTCTAGCGAGTCAGATTCCCGAACTGTACCGTCGCTACAACCTGCAGTTTAAAGGTTTTAAGGTATATAGGTCAAGTAGTACGAACTCTAAAGCACAAGATAAGCATGTCAAGCTTGAGTGAGAGGTCAGTCATGCACATTTTTGGTGTGACGGGGATGGTTATAATGACATTGATGCCCATGATAGCAACAGAATCATCGTCACCGTCGTCGCCGTTATCATCATCATCACCAGCATCTGATCTTCTCTTCCACCCGGTTGAGAGCAAGAAGCACCAGGGATCAGGTGATAAGGAAATTAGGGAAATTAGCTACCTGCAGCAGGATCATCGTCAGAAAGTCATCATCGAAGAGGATTACGGTGTTTGGAATCCCACCCCGAGACCAGGAGACGGCGGAGGGCGTGCTTCCCCCGTTCCCCATGCAAAAGACAGTCGCCACTTCTCTTCCAAAATCATTTCCGGACTGATTACCCATTTGCCCGCCCGAAGACGACGTCGTCGACCTAACCATGCAGGCCGATTCCATTGAACAACAGTACTGCTGCCAACTCTCTTCCAGAAATCCGCTGGCGTTTGCTTCATCGTAATCGTAATTCTTTTAAATAATCTTAAACCTTTCTATGATTATTATGCAAATGATCTTTTTTTTTTAATAATAAATTTCGAATAAGATAAAGAATCATGTACAAAGTTTTTAATTACAAAGATTTTATGAAACAAAGTCAAAATCAGCATATAACTTTATAAATATTATATATGTAACTTTACGGATAGGAGCAGCTACTTTATCTTAGTTAAAGGCATTAAACCTGTTTAATTGGCTAATTAATCACTTAATCCGAAGCATTAAATGCAAAAAATAAAAAAAAAATGAAAGAAATTAGCGGGGGATCGCCGTCCTAAGTGGGTCTGATATCGGACGTAGCAATAACCGTGGGCGGGCAACCGAAAACATTAAACAGTAACATCTTTACCTGGGTGCCACGTGTCCAATGTTCAAAAGATTAGGACAAGCCTCGATCTCTTTAATTTTAGCCTATCAGAGATACTAATCTGCAAACTCAAGCAAGCACCCCCTCTCCATCGGAGAAAAGGATATCTCGGGGTTCGCACGGGAATCGCATCTGCTTCAAAGCTCCGTCGACGACTGTAAGTTTGAAAGCACTTAATCCTTCGTTTCCTTTGTGTTGTTCTGGTAATTGGCTTCTGATCCCTTCCATGGCATCGTTATTCTGGATTAGATCCATCTCCTGCAATATATTTTTTTTAATTTCTTTTTAGTTCGTTAGTGGATTTTCTTTCGTTGTTGAAACATTGATGTTTAGTCTATAGGGCTGCAAGGAATGTTTAATGCTACAAAGGAAGGATTTTGAACGGGAAACAGATTTGTTCATTTGTGCTAAGGTTTTTCAGTGTTGTCTTGTAGTCGTTCGAGTTTCAAAATTTATTTAACATGGTTTCCATAGTTCATAAGTGTGGATTTTGTGGGCTGATCAAGTTGCTATATCAGTTTGGCATTAACTTTTGTTCCTTTCTTTAATAATTTGCCAATTCATTGATGTATTGAAAGTGTGCTAGGTTGACTATAGTTGTGATGAAAGAGTAGATGTCATAAGGACGAATTCAAGATTTTGCATGAGGGGGTAGTTAAAGTGTAATTAGTAGGGTAATCATCTTATATATATATATATATTAAGTTTTATGCATATAATAATAAAGAATATTAAAATTGAGGGGTGACAGCCGTCACCATCTGCCATCCCCTTGGCTCTGCCAGTCCATGACACCTAACTCTTTGGAAGTATCTTATTATCCTTCCTTTTTTTAAAGGATTTTGAGATTAAGGAAGTTAATTGAAACATATGGTAGGTGATTCTGTGTTTCATCCAAAAGCGTTTGCATGAATTTGGATCAGATGCTAGTCATCCTCTTATGGCAAGCAGTTTATAATTTAGGGAAGGCCAGGTGCCTGCCATCGCATATCCATGAGTATACTGTAAATTGGAGAACTTCTGCTGTTAGAGTGGATGGCTCCTATTGTAGTATGTAATCTTGATTGCTAGAACTTACATTTGAAATAAATGTTTGTACTAAAATACAAAAGAAACACATGAAGGCAGTTTCAGGTTTCTGCCGATATTTTCCTTCTCTTTTAAAACTAGACAGCATTCTATACTTTCTCTTCTAGTCCATATCTTTCCAACTTGTAAAGGAAGACAGTAAATTGGGGAACCAGCTAACGTGAAGATGAAATTCGATTCAGATTTCTTGGTAAAAAGATTTTAATAAATTGTGTATACTAAGGGATGCTTCTGATTGATGGAAGAGGTTTGCTTTCTTTGTGGGATAATTTGTGTGTCTTTGGAGTTTTGTTTGTAATATTTTGTAAAATGTGGCTTTTGAAAGTAAATACAGGGTAATATTTTATCACCTCGGAGGATGTTGAAGAAATCTCATTTTAAGTTTTACTTGGTATGGGTTATGGTCAATTAACTTTAATAGGTGGTTCTTGGGCAAGTATTTGAATGTAGTGCATGGAACGACGCGTTTCTGTTTGAAGGTTAAGGTAGAAGTATAAGATGGACCAATGGAGATAATCTTTGGGTGTGTGATTAATGTTGACAGGGGAAGTGCAGCTTTGTTGGTGGTGGGGTGTTAATTAGTAGATTTGTGCTGGTTGGTGTGTCTATTAGAAGGTTTGAACATGAGTTCTCACAGCAGAAGCAGTAGCAGGAGCAGAGGCCTGAGTCGAAGTAGAAGCAGGAGCCCACGAGATCGCAGGATTCGATCTCACCGATTTTCACACCGAGATGCTCCGTTTAGGAGGGAGTCACGTCATGGCTTCAGGTTATTTGGTTCTCTAGTGATTTTCATTTTCCCAGTATTTTGTTTTAACAGAAAGGGAAGGGAAGACTGAAAAACAAAAGTAATATTTAACGGGAAGGGATTCTTATATGCGGGCAATAGGAAGCATATCTTTAAGTTTTCTTAGGCCTTAACTTTAGGGCTGGATCCCTACATAAATAAATTATAGAGATAGACAATCTGTAAGAAGTTGTGCACTTTTGGCTGTAATGCTGAAACGATAGTGTTGTAATAGAATTTATACATTTCAATTCTAACAATTTGCCCTTTTCACACTTTGAAATTATCATTTAATGTCTCCTTGCACAAGCAGCAGACAAGCTTCCTCCTTGAGTTAATTCTGTCTTTACACCTTGCTTTTGCACCTGAAAATAACTCCTAAGTTTCTCATCATCCTAGAGAGATTGAAGCCAAATATCTTCAGTTACTAACTTATTGTTGGTAGTTGTAGAGCAAAATTCTAATAATTAGCTGCCACAAATACTTAGGTGCTCTGTATGAATAACTTGGGGCCTGATTGCATGGGGCATACACCTAGTGTGCTCATTTTGAGTAGGATGAAAGTCAGCAGACTATAAATGAAGCATTCTCATATGATTCTAATGGCACACTGCGTTATTGCTAAGACTCTAGGTGGTAATTATGGTTGCTTAAGATTATTTGTTCTACAAGAAGAAATATGAAGAAAGGGATACTGATAGGACAACCAGAGTTTAGTTTTCTCTTTCATTGGCTATGTGAAGAGTTTATAAATTTTAAATCTGAGATGATATTTTGGTTCCGATGTGTTAGTGTCTGTTAGACCACAACATTCTTTTATACATTACCAGTATACTCACTGTGTACATTTGGATTAACATTAATTTTTTTATTAATTTTCTAATAAATGCCTTTTTGTGTCTTTAAATTTATCTCCAGCCAAGGCAATCTGTGCAACAACTGCAAGCGGCCTGGTCATTTTGCAAGAGAATGCGTTAATGTTTCTGTTTGCAATAACTGTGGTCTTCCTGGGTAATGAAAATTTTTGTTGTATTACTAACTAATTGCTTCCTTTTTTTGTGCCTGTTTTCTTCCTAACAATTGCTTTTCAGGCACATTGCATCCGAGTGCACTACACAGGCACAATGTTGGAATTGTCGAGAGCCAGGGCATGTGGCCAGCCACTGTCCCAATGAGGGCATCTGCCACTCATGTGGCAAGACTGGACACCGTGCCAGAGACTGCCCCAATCCCCAAATGCAATCCGGAGACATGAGACTCTGCAACAACTGCTTTAGGCCAGGGCATATAGCTGCTGACTGCACAAATGATAAAGCATGCAAGAACTGCCGGAAAACGGGTCATATAGCTCGTGATTGTCACAGTGATCCTGTTTGCAACTTGTGCAACATATCTGGCCATGTCGCTCGGCAATGCCCAAAGGGCCATATTCTTTCTGATAGGGGTGGTGGCAGCCGGAACAATGGTTATCGTGATGTGGTCTGCCGGAACTGCAATCAAGTGGGACATATCAGCAGGGAATGCAGGGGTGCCCCTATCATCTGCCACAATTGTGGTGGCAGGGGACACATGGCATACGAGTGCCCATCCGGCAGGCTGGCCGACCGTGGATACCGTCGATACTGAAACATAAGTTAGGATTACTGTTTTTTCAAGGATAGGAGCTTGTACTACACGGAGAGCCTGAGTTTTTTAACAGTCTTTAAGTTTACAGGAGTTTGAACTGTGGCCTTGGGTCATTTTAAATCTTCCAAAAGAGTGGTTATTTGGTTCTGAATGTCTTGTTTTTGTCTGCGAAAACGTTTTTAGACTTGAAAATGTGAATGCTCAGACCTCAATTTGTCTTCTTTCCACTGGTTTTAGCTTCTGACAGTTCTTATCCCCCAAGTGTCCAGGGTCATAGTTTTTTTAAAAAAAAATATTTTAAAAAGTATTGAATAGTTATATTGATAAAAAAATTAAATTACAATATAAAATATATTAAAATCACATTTTTTAATTTAAATTTTTTAAAAATTAAAAAGAAAATGACAAAGCATATGGAAAGGGAATGAAATTACATCTTTGACTATGGCTTTTGTTAAATTTTTTTCTTATATTAAAATCCAAAATGGAATGTAAACCAAAGCAATATATAAAAGCCCAATGGGCCTCCTCAAGTCCACAACTAATTTGGGCTCAGTCCATGCTGGAGTCTATTAATCACGTGACATCACGTGCGGTAGCCGTTTCATTTCCCCCGCGAAACCTGGTGCGTATTTTGAAAAAGTCTAGTAAGGCAATTAGCGTCGTCTTCATGTTCAAATTTCCAATGATAAACAAAAACTCAACACGAAAATCTTTTCCCGACTCTGACCCCTTCGAATTGCAAAATCTGTAATGGCCTAGGCTTAGGGTAGTGAGATCAACGATATTGGTTAGCAATGGAAACATCGATTCTGTCACCGACGCAGAAGTACGCAGCCTCGGCTTTGTTCGCTCTTGCTCTTCACCATTCTCAGGTTCACCAAAAACGGCCTACGAATGCTCTCGTTTCAATGAAAGACGAGCCGATTGGTGAAGGCGCAAGCACCCATAAAACCCTTTCGGTCTCTGATAATCCCCAGCTCTGGATCCATGAGAATTCCGGTTTACTTTTGCCTGTCTTCAGGTTTATTACTGAAAAGTTTTGATTTAAAAAGTTTATTTTTCAAATCAGTAGGCTCGGATTTTTTCTTTTCAAACAATTTCTTTTTTTACGGATGTTTAGGTTGATGGGAGTGGAAGATCAAGCTTGGGATGGGCTCAAAGAAACCGCCGGAGTATCAACACAGGCGAGGCATCACGTCGGATCAGTATGTCCCTTATTAATTCATATCTAAATCTTGGAATTATGAAACAAGTTTATTTTTGAGCGTGATATTGATTTTGTCACAGTTCTTGACATTACTCTCAGAGGAAGCTTCCGAAGAAAGACGAGAAAAGGAACTTGCTTTACTTAAGGCTGTCGATGCTACAATGCTTAGTATAGAAAGCTCTCTCGTTGTTTCTGAGGATATTGATAGGAGTCGTGACTATGAAATTAAGTGCCGCGAGAGATACGGCTTTCACAAGACAGAGTTAACTGGTGAAGATACGGATCCTAATGGAAGAATTCAAAGGGCTACTTCCAATGTATCCGATGAAGAAGAAGAGGTTGATGGATTAGGAAGTAGAGTTTCTGAGAAACCAATGGAAGAGGGAGAATTGCTTACTGAGGAGAGGAAAGTAACGGTTCTTTATGAGCTTCTTTCAGCTTGTGTAGCTGAAGCCAGTGACAATGGATCAAAAAGATCATCTCAAACAAAGGGCTATGATGCTCGCCACCGTGTGGCTCTGCGTTTGCTAGCTACTTGGCTGAATGTCAAATGGGTAAAAATGGTTAGTATGCTTAAACTACTCATTATTCCGTAGAGCCCTTTGTGAGTTTTAAGTATCAGTTGTGAATGGCATTTGGTTTTAAACAACCAACTCCTGCTAGTGATAATGTGTTTGCTACATTTGAACCTTCTGTCTATCCATAAGAAGCTTTTAATATTGTAGGAAGCCACAGAGATAATGGTTGCTTGCTCTCTCATGGTTCCATTGATAAAGGAAGATGCAGGGGAAGTTGAAAAGAAAACGATAGCTGATTGGAAACGGGAAGGCATGATCGGTGCAGCTGCTTTAACTGGAGGAACTTTGTTGGCCGTTACTGGTGGTATGGAATCCATCAGTTTGTACATAGCAGATATTTCTTTCTCAAGTTTTTTCCCCCTTTTTTAATTGTATAAGCAAAGTCACCGTTGACCAATTTCATAACAGGCCTAGCTGCCCCAGCAATTGCACAAGGATTAGGTGCCCTGGCTCCTACATTAGGCAGCATTGTTCCTGCAGTTGGAGGTGGGTTTGCTGCAGCAGCTAGTGCTACAGGGTCAGTTGCTGGTTCAGTTACTGTTGCCGCAACATTTGGAGGTATTGATCAATGGGGAGTTGAATATGATTTTTTGTTTATGTTTGATGCTTTTTCATGAGAACTTGTAGTACTTGTGTTTATAACTGAGCTGCACAATGCAGGACTTTGGGTGTTATTCATTTTTCTTTTTTATTTTTGGATAAATGGTAACACTAGTAACAGTTTCATAATACTCAATGACATGATAAGGTCCGTCATTTCTTGCTAAGGTCTAATTATTAGATTTGACTAACCCTTCAACAGTAGACACCATTAGAAGTACGAGTGTAAAACAAAACGTTGTCAGTGTCCTGACTGATTTGTCAATAAAACAAGCTTACATATCATAGAAAGCTTTGGTTCACACTTACACCACGAGCAGAGTAAACAGCTCAAAACTATCAACCAACACTCATTTTTCCGTATAATAACTTTTAAGGGCTAAAACAATAGAGAATTTAACAATCGAATGCTGTAAAATATAACCAATTTACTGCCTAGAGTGCAGATTTAGTTATGATGTTAACCAACTTGCATTTTTTTCAGTACTTTTTTCTTTGTAACCGAAGTAATGTGTTTGGTGGATACTTTCATCACTAACTTACTCTCTACGTATCCCAGCGGCTGGAGCCGGTCTTGCAGGAAGTAAAATGGCTAAAAGAACTGGAGACCTTGATGAATTTGAATTCAAACAAATTGGGAAGAATCATGACCAGGGCGTGAGTTTTTATTCATTTATTTAGCTCTTTACATTTTTGGTTGCTTAGAATAGGCTACTTTATGACTTATTAAATGTTGGTTCTTTATCATGTTTGGCTCAATTCATGAATTTACTTACTGATTTTTTGTAACTGCATTTTTCAGTGGCTAGCAGTTGGAATCTTGGTTTCTGGAATTGTCTTTGAGGAAGAGGATTTTTTAAGACCTTGGGAAGATGATAGTGATAACTTGGAGAGGTCAGAAACTTATTAACCATCTTCCTTGAGGGATAGAACCTCTATTTTTGTATTACTCTTTCTACTTTTTTCTTTCTGAACTTGTGCTTAATTTCCCTTGTCTTTTCAATGTTCAATGTTCTTCCTGTTTTTATTTTCTTTGTAATTTAAAACCAACAACTTATTTGGTGTTTGGCCTTTCTATATTTTATTTTTCTTTCTGGCTTGATGGTATATTAATCTTATTAATGTATCAAATTCTTAGGTATGCGCTAAAGTGGGAGTCCGAGAAGCTGATTGCACTGAACATTTCAGTACAGAAGTGGCTTACTTCAAGTATTATTTTAACCTTCGTAAGCCATCTTTGCTAGCTGGCTAGGTATTTTGTTTGAAAACAAGCCCCCTTTTGCAGGAATTGCTTTAGACGTGATGCAAGCAGGAGCCATGCTGACTGTATTAAGTACACTTGTAGCAGCACTAGCTGTGCCAGTAGCTTTGGTTACCGCATCTAATCTTATAGACAATGTATGGGCGGTTGCAGCGGACAGGTTATCTTTTACTTTTTTGGAATGGATAACTTAGTGTAATTGAGATGGGTGATGGTAGAAGTTCTACATTTGATTAGATGTATATAATGCATGCACGCTGCACTTTTGTTCAACAACATTTTGACTGCCCAACATCTTCTTCCCTTAGTCTTCAAACAACGCCACTGACTTCTCTGCAGTTTTTCCCTTAAGCATTCTTGGAGTCTTTGCATCATAGTTGCCAATTCCTGACCTTTGGTATATATTGCCTCAGAACTGATAAAGCTGGAAAGCTACTAGCTGAAGTGTTGCTAAAGGGATTGCAGGGGAACAGGTAGTCACATGTATGATCATGTAAAATCTGATCTTTTTGCCCCATAACAGTAGTTGAGTTTTTGCCTTGGTTTATGTATACTTTTTTCAGACCAGTGACACTTGTTGGTTTTGCCTTGGGTGCCCGAGTAATCTTTAAATGTCTCCAGTGTCTGGCTGAAACAGGAGGAGATAATGGCAAGATCACCAATCACCATCTTTTTATCATTTTTATTAGTAGGTCGAATTGACTATTTGATAATATTTCTCTTCATCCATATTTCTGCAGCTGGACTTGTTGAAAGGGTTGTGCTTCTTGGAGCACCAATCTCAATACACGATGAAAATTGGGAAGATGCCAGAAAGGTATTTCTGATTGCTTTCTGGCACTAATTTTGTTCTTTCAACTTTTCTTCTTTCATAGATACCACAAATAAGATCTGATCCTGGTTTGCAGATGGTGGCAGGAAGATTTGTCAATGTTTACAGTACAAATGATTGGACACTTGGAATAATATTTCGTGCCAGGCAAGTGACGAGTCTATACTTAATTATCATGTCTTAGAATGGATGAATCTTAGGAAAAATCTTACACCATTGACCTATGGAAAAAAAATTCTTGTTTTGCTTATCCATAATTATGCAAGAAGAAAATGTTTAGCAAGTGTTGGGTAACTCACATGAAATAGTCAATACTTTGACTCCTCAAAGTGGCGTAAATGAAAAACTAGGATTTTCTTCCATGGATGATCATGATCTTGTTTGTATCTTCCTCTTTTTTGTTTCTATTACTAATTCCAGTCTCCTATCTGCAGCATACTTTCCAAGGGATTGGCTGGAATTCAACCTGTTGATCTTCACGGGATTGAAAATGTAGGTGCTCAGACTTTTTTCTTTTCTATTTTTTCAATTCCTTTTCAATTTCCATTGCACTGATGTTAAAAGACAATGAATTATCATTGGATTTGCAGGTTGATGCATCTGAATTTATTGAGGGCCACTCTTCCTATCTTTGGATGGCAAAGAAAATCTTGAGACAGCTTGATCTGGACTACTATTATCCGATTTTCAGGACCACCCACACCAAACCCCAGGAAGAGAAAAGCAAACATACTTAGTTTAGTGTTCATCTTTAAGCTTTCCTGCTAAAGTTTTGTCTGCTGTCCTCCTATAATATGATTATCTGTCTCTTTGGCTAATTACTACTTGATTTTGGAATAAAATAATATGCCTCTTCAAGCTTTGTTCTGACACGCAATGCAATTCATATCCATGACGTTTGGACTTCCATTGATGCTGGGTAAGAAGATAAGCTTGAATGCCCATGTGGTTAAGCTAAGCATCATTACATCTGTTTCTGCAAGGGCAGCTGCCCAACTCAGATGCAAAAAAGGAAATCTTGGTTAGTTAATCTACTCTTTATATAAATAATGCATAAACCGTTCAATCAGCACTGTCTGCAGCCTTTTGATTTTAGGCCAAAATCCTGACACTTGAGTGCTCTCCCAACTTGCTCATTTGCTCAATCATGCGTGTCTCTCATCGTTTCTCAGTTTGTCTGAGAATCAAGCAATCCATGTTAGGAGTTAGGACAAGCACTAGATGGTGGCTAAGGAGTAAGGAGGCAAGTAAGAAAGAAAACTTGAGCCTGAATCCGAACGTGAATGCCAGCCAGATCATTTTTTTTTTTCCTTTTAAATATGAAGTTGGAAACATGATGGCATAAGTGCCCTGCCCCTGAAAAAATCAATTTGTTCTGTACCTTATAAGGAATGCATTATCTACAAGAAAGATTACTGTATCCCCACAAATGCTATACTCAACTGCTCTTTCCCCTTTACACTTGTTCAATTTTCAAACGTCAAGGTGAAGCAAGTTTGGAAGCTCGCACCAAAATTGTTTGGTAAAGACATGCAGAGAATTGCCAATATGGTAAACAGATTCTCTGCCCAAGAACCAGCCCCCCTCTGTTACTGCCAAAACTATTTGATTATGAATGTCACATGTGAGGCTCACAAGACCATGAATTACCAAACTATGGGTATTAACTCAAAGATTGCTTAGCTAATTGCATGCAAAGGTTATAATTCCAAATAGTAAACTTTGACCAGGCAAGCTAGTTGGTTCTCTTTTGTAGGAGGCTTCTTAGTTCTTATCAATGTTCCTCTTGGTCTCTAGATAAGTAGATTTTTCCCACTTCTGAGTCGATCAAGAGCTGTATTGGTTAATTAATTTCAACCTTTTCATCAAAAAGCTGGTCCTTTTTTTGGGATCATTGCATTTGGGAAACAAAAGCTGAAAGCTTTTCGATAGTCAATCGATGTACCACTATAAGCAAATAATCAGCCACTACCCGAACTCCCTTCTTTTGGAAACATACTTCCATTTTTTCTTCAATCTTCCACAGAACTGTTTCATTTATATTGAATTCATGGCATGTCCCACTTCTCAGATCCATGCCATTTTATCATTAGGATTTAGGATACACTGACATTACCTCTAATTCTTGTTCCTCAGAGAGTCTCGGACGATCTTAAGAGGGGGACATGTGAGGGACATGTGCACGTTCCATGCAAGTGGGCGAGGCTGAAATATTTTGAGCTTTCCAAGCAGGCGCTAGTCACATTGCAATCCTAGGTGGGGACAAAGTGTGTCCGAAGGCATCTCATTCTTTAGTACTTTCAAGAAAAGAACAAGTAGCAATTGGTTGTTTTCGTTTGCGATAGAGATCTAGGTGTATAGCTTTAAACCGAGTGTATATATAGCAGGCACGTTTAGGCAACAGTGGCATCTTTTCAGAAACCAAAGGATGGAGACATTAGTAAAAGGTCGGCGGGTTCTGTTTTTTCTATTAGTGGCAATTGTTAGGCTGAGAGGTGATGACTTGGTAAATGGCACCACTACTATCAATTCTTCTTCAGTTCATGTCAAGCTTCCCCAAGGAAAAGACAATGTTGAAGTAAGTAACAGAACTTCTACTGAAGTTGTGCTCGATGATAAGAACAAAAATAGAGGACCATATTATAGAGGAAGGCAGGTGGTGTGGGGTGGTGGTGGGCGGTGGAGGCGGTGGAGGAGGAGGTGGTGGGGGCAGTTTTGGATGGGGATGGGGTGGAGGTGGTGGAGGTGGTGGTGGTGGAGGGGGAAGACGAGGAGGAGGTGGGGGATGGGGATGGGGAGGAGGAGGTGGTGGTTGGTATAAATGGGGATGTGGAGGAACAAAACCTGGAAAAGGCAAGGGAAGAGGAGGAGCAGGTAGAGGCATTCACAGTCATCAAGCGCGTAGGAAGAGAGTTTTCAACAAGGAAGATTATAAGCTAGGTGAGTTTGCTCAATGCATGGTTAGAGGAAGGTGCAGAGGCATGAGGTTGGATTGCCCTCTTCATTGTGGTGGACCTTGCGTCTATGACTGCCAACATATGTGCAAAGCTCACTGCAGACGCCCATGATTCCTTTAACCCTCAACCAATCTCTTAACCTCTTTTCTCATTCTTTTTACCACCCCCATCTTTTCTAATTTCTCAATGTGCAAATGTTAAGAAGAAGAACAATCCATTGAAGAGTTTTAACTAATGTTTGTCTTCATCATCATCAGGTTTATTTGGATTCTTTGAGTTGCTTGATATTTCAATGGGCTGAGATTTTGCATGTGTTCTTTTTCTTTCAATTATCTAGCCTTTTTTATGGAAAGCCTTTTTTTGGACAAATATTGCTCGCATGTTCATGTTATTAGACCCGATGTTCCTGTAAGAAAGAAGAGACTGTCCCGGTCCTTTCAGTGCCAATAGGACATGAGCCCAAATAACTTGCTTAGCCCCCATAGAACTGGCTCGACCCAAAGTAAAGTAGAAACTATTGGGGCCAGAGAGCAAAGAACCAAGAGTAAATTTGGGGCTAATGCCTAGATGAAATAGCTGTCACAACCGAAAGAATAGTTGACCCACTAGGCCAGTAGACCAGAGTCCTCCCTGCCTCAAACTTATCTATTTGTATATATCTTAAAGGTTTTGTACTGTTTTGAGTTGTTACATTAACTCATCGAGGAATCAATCATTTTTGTTTTTTTTTTTCAAATTTCTTTGGAAGGACAACCTCAGATTATTTTCATGATAACCAAACTTAATTTCGGTGATGGGTTTGTTGAATACGATGGGTAGCGTAGACTGTAGAGAGTATTGTGGGGGTTAAATCCTGAGAGGGTCATCAGCCTGTCTATTGGGCAGAACCGACCGCATCGACCCCTTCAGAACATTTAGAAAGAAGATGGTCAAAAGGCCAAAACTGCCATAATCAGGCAAATTAAGATGCTGATGTGATATTTTCATGGAAGAAAGGTGTGAGAACAAAGGTCTTTATTGCTCGTGTCTGAAGCCATCAAAAAGTGAACAAAATTGGCATGTGCGGTACCTGAATAAGAGACATGGGCTCTGCAACGGGGTTGGCTTTGGTAGGTGTAGGTTTAGGTTTGGTAGACCCAAAGGTAACCTTTCGGCAGCGGACCGGCATTCTGATTGACCGAGAACTTGTCATCTTTGAGCAGCCCTTTTTTTAGTTACAGTGTACACACAAGCACGTTCATGATGGTGAAATGACTAGGTTCATTGGTGAAAATCCTGAAAAGATTTGTTTGTTTTTCTTGTTTTTGGTCTTAAATGTAAGAGTAAACGGATTTACTACAGTGAATCAAAGCATAACATTCAAGTTTGTGTATGCTTTGTTTGAAACAGAAGTGTTATCTTTCTGAGTTATCTTTCTGAGTTATGTCTGTAAGAAATCAGAGTATACCGTAAGTATAGAAACTTGAACATGGGATTGGGAAGAAAATGTAGAGAAAGAGGAAAGGGAAAAGTAGCAGAAGTACCGGGAAGTACAACTGGAAGTCTGCAAGAAACCCTGACTAACAACTAGCCCTGAGTTCCGTTTTTTCCCCTATTTTGGTCCGCAGATTTCTACTAGTTGAATGAACTACTGAAATTGATAGTTATACCAATACAATCCCGAAGGTTTGGGCCTTTGGGGCAAGTTCGTCCCCACCAGGACACTGCAATCTTGCTTTAAGACAAAACCAGACCATCCCTTTTTGCCTGCCCCTCTCTCCTTTCCTTATCCGATCCCATCATCAATTCATCATACCCATCATCTATCTCCTGTCTTCTTTGTACCTTCTTACAATGCCTGTCAGGTTCCAAATCTCGGTAACATGATACGTCTCCCCGACCAAAAGGGGCGATTAGTTGTTCCCTTGACTGTCTGTCAATTTATGTCGCAGTTTCAGTTCAATTGCTCTCTCGAGGTTATCAGATAACGATATGTCATTTGCTAGATTCCCCACTTCAAGATGTGTTAGATTTCGTCTTTGCTCTGGCTGATCGTAATCTTTAAACTGGATTTGTGAACTCGAGATGGCAAAAATTGAAAAGAAGGAAAAGTAACCTTGAAAATTTTTCATTGATATTTACAAAGAAGTTGCGTTCTGCGAGTACACGACGAAGGAACAAAATGCTACAAGCAAACCGGCCCTGTCAGAGTAGGGGAAAAGATGACATTAAACTGAAATCACCTTTGCTAGAAATTCGAAAATACGAAGAAAAGGCAAAAGATGGGAACTTAAGCTCCTTGTCAAACTATAAGGGAACATGAGGATTTTGTACTTTGAAGAACTGATTCTACCAGAGAGGCCTAGATCTCTTAGAGCCAGTGGAGGGAGGGCTGATCTGAGGAACTGTAAATGCATCATCTGTCCATCTCCGGGTAGCTTTCATGCCTATTATTTCCTTTTTCTCCTTGAACCCAATTTGCCCCCCCATTGGTGAAGAACATTGGGGAGGATACAGGGGAGATGGTGACTGCGGAACCCAGAGTCCTAAACTTTCTGGTGAGAAAGAACTCATATTGCTCTCCAGATCAATATCGGAAAATGGCAACATGCCATCATCACTCTGACAAAATTAGATCAAAAAACAAAATTATTCAGATCCCAAAGAAAATCACATCATTCAAAAATCAAATCGCAAAAAGAATACATATTATATTGTGCCTTGAGCTTACTATCTAGAAAGGGAAAAACAATAGATCAATGATGGATCAATGCAAACCTTACAGAAACCAAAGGGGGGTGAGGAGGAATCAAGGAAGTCTTCGAAGTGCCAGCCTGGAAGCATCTCTATCAAATACTCAGATATGCTACTCGTTGAACCACCCCCTTCATTTGGTAACAGGTTATCTCCACCGCTCTTGTTTGTTACTGCTGCTGCTGCTGCTGCTGCTGTTGTACTAATGGGTAAAGACTTAGCAAGTGAAAAAGGATTCAAATTTGTTGGAGAAGCAGAGACAGGATTCTTGATCGAAGGTTGAGATTTGAATTCAGGAACAGAATCACAGCCGGTGGATAAGGAAGGGATAGAGGATGAAGAGGAGGATGTGTAGAGAGCAGAGGTAGCAGAGAGTTTAACCCCTGTAAGAAGAAACCTGTTATGCTTCTGGGTATGTTCGTTGGCGGCGTGAATTGGAACATCACAATCTCTGCATAGAATTGCCCTGTCTTGTTGACAAAACAAGAAAGCTCGTTTCTCCTACAATAAGACCAAAAAAAAACCCCCAAAATCTAGCAATCAGAAAACCAACTTCCACACAATTCTCCGCAGAAATAAAAGGTATAAAAACCATAATCAAAGCCAGATAGCAAGAAAGACGTAAAAAATAACCTGACAGATATCGCAGAGAGGGGCTTGTTTAGAAGAGGCAGGATGGAGAAGGGAAAAACGTTCGTGTTTCGAGGCAAGCTTATTGGCGTGGTGGACTCGGTGATCACAGGCGTCGCACAGGGCGGCCTCGTCTGCGGTGCAGAACACGGAGGCCTCCTCTTTGTTACACACGTCGCACTGAATCTTCATCTGTTTAATTTGTTTGATCTCTTTGCTCCCAATACCCGACCACTTTCTCTTTCTGAAAGAGAGTACTGTGTCAAAGACTGCGGAAGTTTGGAACCCCAGAAGATTTGTGAAGAGAGGGTTGTAAGAGTATCTGCCAAGAGTATACTATAGAATAAGATTACTGTGACATAGTGGGGGTTCATATTTCATGTTGTAAGGATAGAGATAGACATGGAAATATGGGCTGGTTGCTTCACTTTCTATGGTGATTTTTTTTGTCTCTCTCCCTCTTGTTTTGATTTTTCCAAGCTTGGGTTACAATGAAAACCTTTGGAAAGTAGAAATAAACAAATATCATACAAAGTGCTTTTATTCAAAGAGATAATCTATGATTCCACACACTTCTGTTTTTACCTCTCTTTTGTTACTTGTTTAATCTACTTTGTAAAGTGAAGCCATGGTTAGCTATTTGTCAATACTTTATTGGGTCCTGATGTACTTATTGATTCCCTTTTTTTTTTTCAATTAAATGTTTTGCATCATCATGGTCGTCATCCAATGAAACTTTTGTGCTTTATTTTTGCAACAGAAACACATGGTTACAGAGCCAGATAGGCCAATCAGGACTCATTATTCAATAAGAAAAATTTTGGGTTTGGGGGGTCGACATGAGATGGGAATTTCATTCTAAATTCAATCCCCATTTCAATGGAATAAAGCTTTTTATTGATTTGTTGAATCCCCTCCCATTTTTGTAGGATGTTGCTTCTGAGTTTCCCTGTAAAGGGGACCACGCTCGCTCTCTCACCATGCTAGTTTTGTCAGTTACGCTATCAATTCTTAAATTGCTTCAAACCCATCTCTTTCATTGCTGTGATGAATCTTATACCAAAGCCATGATGAGAAAATTTCTTTCTGAAATAGTTGAAAAAAGAAACTACTGAGATGCTGTAAGGAATATGGCAATCTTACTCCTTTGACTTCGTACAAATTAACCTCTATCATGTTCTTATGAACCATTTGCTATCAAAGCACTAACTGATCTACATGCAGCATCGATTGGCCACTGGTCAATTCTGCAAAAGGAAATGATCAGTCGTGGGACTTGGATCCCATCCTGATTTATTAACAAGCAATATTCCTTCCATTTTTTGCCCTTTAGCATCTTCTTTTCTAAGAGGCATTATCATCTATTTTAGGTTGCACTCTATTCTAAGAATCTAAGTTACATCAATTTCTAGAGTCTAGGACCGCCTTCTCAAATTTTCCTTTTCTTTCCTATTGACTTAAAGCTATATGCATTGAATTTAACTTATGTCAGCCCTTGAAAGGAAAAAGAATGTTTCCTTTCTTGTACTTTATAAAGCGTCAAATAAATGATGGCCCGGTTCTCATGCAATCGACTACCAATCCTTCAAAACTCATAGACAAGTTTCTTGGGTAGAAGGGTATGTTAGAAGAAGTCCAAGCTGCAAGAGAAATCAAAGACTAAATCCCAACTTTTTCTTAAATAAAATGATAATAGTTAGACCAGTTTTTATGTTAGGGCTTTGATCAGCATATATATATATCATTACAAGAGTAACCCTAACCTTATGCATGGTCACGATACTAACCTAGCCATGTATTTGAGCAAACATAAAGTATGAGGCGCAAAACATGGAAGTAGCTAGTCTCAGGTTGGCCTTTTAGGGGAAAAAACTTAGATCCGTACAACTTACCCTCCCTCTCGAGACGGGCAAAAGTATCTCGTCGGACCTTTTATCTCTCAACGACTTTCTTTGTAATACTGTACACCGAAGCAAAAGTATCTCGTCCGCCCTTTTATCTCAACAACTTTCGATGTAAAGTGTACACAGAAAGCAAGCATGGGGCAAAGCATTGGGTTTGACAACTTCGAGGGAGGTCCCGATTCTTGATACGGGATTGTGGGTTGCCCTCATAATGGAGAAGTTGTGTCAGCTCATGGGCGACCAGTCCCTGTTCCAATCTCCACCCCCCTCCCCTCTCCTCCTCTTTATTGGTCACTTCGACTCCATAACAATATACATGTAAAGTCTAGATAAAGCAGATATTTTCCCTCAGCTTCATTTGTCTTTTTTAATTTCCCCTCTCTCTCTCACTGTCTGTCTCATCAATCAAAGGTGGTGGAGATCTTTAAAAAGAAGGGATCAATCAGCAACCTGCCACGTGCCTCTATTATTGGAAAAGGCTTGAACAGGAACAATTTAATTGAGTCATTATCCTTTATTTTATATGTTAGGAGAGGGGATTGCATGAAAAGTGGTTTCCTCTCTCGGGGTGGTGTACTGATGTGTTTGACCAATATCATATTTATTATTATTAAAAATGGAAAAAATGTAAAAAAAAAATAAATAGTAACACTTGTTAAAGTTTTCATTGTATAAAAGTACATGTTATATCAAATTAATTAGTAGTAGCTAGTTCATTGTCCTGCATAGATTTATTTAGGGAAGAATCATTTACCATTAACATATGCAAAGCAGGAGCAGAAGTTTTCTCATTGGCAAAGCAATTCCAATAAGTCAGGCAGGCCCATGCATGTCAAACAACAATTGGACCATACGTAGAAATTGTTAGCAAAACAATGTATGGATTATTCCCACAGAAGCAAGAAAGAGAGGTGTGGTGGGTCAGATATGGATATTATTAACGTGCAATGGAGAAAGCAAAACGGGACAAACAACATATTTTTTTTTTAGCTTTCGAAGATATATATATGATCATATTCATATGAATGAATAAATATCATACGTATACTTTGTATGTAGGAATCTTGAGGGAAGAATGAATAAGCATAACATAGCCTGAGAATAGGGAATGGTCGGCATCACACTGTGGAGGTGATAAGACACGAATATAATTTGCCCTTTTTTCTTTCAATCCCAATTCTATTCACTTGGACTAAAACAATGGCTCTCATGAACCCAGGAATAGTACCAAAGGCAAACTTCATGTCTATTTTATAGAATATTTTGATCATGCCGGTTATTTGATAGCTTCACAAATGCTTTTCCTGTTTTTTTGCTTTCGTGAAAATTGATTCTTAACCCGTTAGAGAGAGGATGGATTCGAATTCTTTTAATCATTTCTGGAGAAGATATTATTACGAATTAAGTAATATTAAATGATCAAACTAAAATTATAAGCTTTTATATCACTTCAACACAAAAGGAAAAGGCTTCTAAGTGTTTATTCCTTCTTGAAAAAGGGAATAAGGGAGTGTCTTGATCGGTTCCTACATTTTACCTAAGGTCAGATGTGAATTTTAGGGTTATCTTATATGTATTTGGTTCACTTAAAATTCATATTAATATACTAGAATTAATGCAAAAATTAATAGTGGATCAAGGCTTGGCTCGTGTTGAAGACACCCCACCTTTTTCTCAAGAATTTATTGAGACCTTAAATCAAGCCCCCATAATACAGATTAACATGGGTCATACAGTACGGACTTTTCCATCAAAAACTCAAGGATTTCCAGGAAAAGCACTTGTTTAACAAATTAAGTACGAAGTTTAATTGATCAGGAGATTATACAATTCAAAGAAAGTGGCTATAGCATTGCTTATACAAGGTTTATTGAAACAATTAGGATCAATGGGTTGGCCTAGCTCAGGACCAGGACACGACACTCCAGTTAAGCTAATAATATATTTCAAATACCCCATATCATATACATAGTTAAATTATTCTTTATATGATATGAGCTTGACACCTTTTCATTGATTTTGTCTTGGGGCCGTGTGTTTCTTGCGAAGAATTTAACAGTAATTAGTAGTAAGTTGAAGGGTCATGTAACTTAAAAGCAATTGGCAGCAATATTTGAGATATTACCAAATAATTTTAAGTTCAATGTATGTCTTAAAATTTCAAGAATATGCAGAAACTCGCCTGTTGAATAGAAGGAAAGTGAAGCAGAAGAGAATATTCTAGGACTGCCTTTAAACAAAAAATATGGGATGGGAATTTGGGAAGGGACTGGAGGAGTATGGGGAGCAAAGATCTTTGGTGGCAGGAGGGGTTCGATCCTTCATTATCTTCAACGTTAATAATGAACATAGGATGCGTTGGATGAGATGTACCATTGGCCAGGATGAAGGGTTTTCTACCGACAATGGGGTTCCCCACTTGGCCAAACCCCACACCCCCTTGCCCATTTGCCTCTCCAAGGGCTGTTTGGCCACAAATTTAACATCGTTCAGTGTATCCCCTCCTCCCTGTTCGACTCAAAATATATATAGTTGCAAGCTAGGCCAACAACTTCTGCCTTAAATGATGGCAGCTTGACTGAGGAGACGAGCCAAGATTTGCATAGATTTGGCATCTTGAAAAAAATTTGCAGATGATATATGACGTATACATCACTCCCAACTCATCTTAAATTACGGCTTAAATGAGTTCAATTAAGTTTACTCCAACCTTTGCCTTACAAATTACAGAATAGAGATGTGGTTCTGTGACTCAAGGAGGGAGTTAGGGATACCTAAACTCAAAACGACTCTGTCATCTGCTCAAAGCTTAGTCAACTTGATCAGGTTTCTGATTCTGACTTGTCCCATTCATTCTGATACCTGAAGGTGTAAACTACATCATAAAGGTTGAGCCAACATTCTTCTCGCATTTAATACAATTGCAATGAAGCTTTTAGAAAGGTCCAGATCTCTATGCCAAACTAGATAGAGGCTGGGGGAAAGCTTTTATTGCATCGATGGAGCTGGAATTCGGGGTGGGCACCGTCAGTAGAGATCATCCCAGATCTAACCATACCATTAATTTTTTGATGAGTAGGACCACTTCCTTCAAAGTAAAATAAAAACGAAGATGACCACTGGCGTTGAGAGTGCCTAAAAAAGATTTGGAAAACGATGCTATACATGTATGGGAAGCCACAATTAATGTACCACCTTCTTGCTTATGAATTACTTCCGGGCAACAAACTCTTGAAGATGACAATATTAATTTCAAGGGATACTGATGGACACCGAAGATTGTTTTGATTAGTTTAAGGTAGAGTTGAAGGATGATTACGTTTTCATTGTCAATCCTGATTTGAAACAAAACCATTTAGGCCTTTTACCATGGAAAGATTGTCTTGTTCGTCAAACGTACCATCGGCAACCTGATAGACATGGCCAAGCCTACTCGACGCTTTCTTGCTGCGAATGGAACTCTATTCCTCCTCTTTCCCCTTATTTCCCTGTCTTTAGAAAAGCAACACTTTTCCAGGGAAGATCATCAGAATTCCTGGCTATTCCTATATTAAGTTTTTGCAGATGTCAATCGATACCCGACCATTGTTGATTTGTCTGGTCAATTTTTCTTCTACGGGAACTCCGGCTAGGAATTCGACAGTCTCAATGGGCCCCCAATATCTGAGTAAGCCTTCAATCTAGACTCAAGAGACAAAGTCAATGATGGGCCAAACTTCACTTCTCCAGAAAGCAGAAATTGGAGCTAGGCCTAGATAGTGGCCCATCCAATCTATATTGCATGAGGACTAAAAAAATTGTAAAGCTCCACACAAATTTAGTTTTATTTGTTTAAATTTTGGACGATTTTCAACAGTTTAACAACTAAACCATGCTCATAATAAATAAATAAATAAATAAAATCATAGGGATTTTCAACATTAAACTCAGGATGGAAACGTGTCTTATCCTTATCCTTGAGATACCACTGCTGAATATTGATTATTCCAGAATCCTTAGGTATGGGTTTATTTTATTACTCTACATTGGATTCTTTTTCCTCCAATGTAAAATAGAGACAAAATTCATCCAGGAAAGCACTGCTATAATAATATAAACTCATGACAGAAAATGAAGTCATCCTCATAAAAGAATGGCAAAACCAATTAAGAAGGGTCTTTAAATGCTGTGTACCAGTAAATATGAACAATGCACATGGAACCACTGCATTGCAAAGAGCTTGCTTTTATAAAATGATCTTGATGGCAATGTAATATTAGAGTTTATATTTTATGCCCTGTCATTCTATTGGTGTATAAATTCTATTCATTATTTGTGAATTATATTCGTTAATAAATAAATTTAATAATTAAAAACCTTAAGAATAAACATTCATAATTCTAAATATAAGCACAATACATTGATAATATGTCAAATATAAATCCATAATATTATTTGTCGACAACAAATATTGATTTGCATTGAAGAGAGGGAATCATATGGAGATCCCTCCGAGGAGAGAGAACATGAAATTATATCAGAATTGATGAAGAAATTTATGAACATGATTAATACAATATTGAGAAAAATTACCTTTAATACATCCATAATTTGGAAGTCATCTTATTATTATATAGTACTGCTGTTGGCTTGAAAAATGAAAACCTTGCTTGTAATAACCTTCAGTTTCGTTCTAAAAAACAATGATGTCAATGCATGCCTGCGGGGGATGGCTTAGACCAATTCACATGAGAAATCTCAGCGTATCAGCACTATCGTCGTTAGCCGGTGGGAAAATATTCAAGTAAACATGGTTTCCCTTTCTTTCTGACGATGGTGCGCAGTTTCCAATGTGCACTTTGCGAGCAAAAGAATCAACACCAGGTGGCGGAATTAGTAGAATAGTAACAGCAATTCTACAATAATAAGCGAAGTCATTGCTTTTCTCCTTTCCAAGACAATGCTTTTGTGAAACACAAAGGCGAACCTGCAACCTGCAAGTGCACAAGCCCCAGGGCAATTTACTCCAGTTTTGTAGTTTCTCTTTGGGTCGCTTTTGAACTATAAGCCTTGAAACTTTCAATCGACGCCTGAGCAAGATTGGTTTGTTCACCATCTAGAATTGTCAAAAATCGAAGGAGGGAAAAAAAAAAAGAATAAAACTGGAAAGCTAATCTCTTAAACAACATAGTAAATTTTCTGCTGTTTCTCTCAAACTTGTAACCTTTCGCACTAAAAATATAGGTAAAGACAAACTAGGGAATAATGTTATTACTATAATACAATTCAGGGTTACTTTGTTTCTAAGGAATTGCAGGCCCAAAGCTCTTACAATCCACCAAGGATTTCTGATCCCCACCTTGGCAGAAGAAGAAAGCGTCAGGACACCGATACAAGCAATTATCCGCCAGGCTGACTTGAGCAGAACCCGGTTTGAGACCAAGCAAAGGTCCTGGAATTGGCCCGAACAAGTAATTCCCACCCAGCAACAGCCTCTCAAAAGACGAAGCATTGGTCCCGGATATAGCAGCTTTGAGTGCATACTGAGCCGGTATCATACCTGTGAACTTGTTATGCTCCAAAGATAAAGCTGCAAGCTTTGGCATCGAAGCCATGAAAGCTGGCAAGAAACCTTGAAGCTTGTTGTAGCTTAAATCAAGAGCTATTAAGTTACTGTTTAACCCCATGTCACCAGGTACTTCTAAATATGAAAAGTTGTTGTAAGAAAGAGTAAGCTGTTCCAGGGACGGATGGTAAAAAAGAACTGATAATATTGCTCCGGATAATATGTTGTGACTGAGATCTAGAACTTGCAAAAACCTCATATTCTCGATGTTATCTGGAATATTTCCTCCTAGTTTATTGTTTCGAATTGAGAGCTCGACAAGAGATGCTGGCAGTGTTGCAGGGACTCCAGCGGATATATTGTTATCACTAGCATCTAGGAAGTAAAGGTTTTTGAGTGAACCCAGATCGGGAAACTCACCTGAGATATCGTTTTGTTGGATTTCAAGTCGTCTCAGGCTTGTTAGATTGTTGAAGCTTGAAGGAATGGGTCCATGGAGATGGTTGCTATCAAGGTAGAGTTCTTCAAGGTGAGAGAGGGAGCCAAGAATGATGGGTATTTCACCAGAGAGTGAGTTCCTAGACAGACCAAGTCGACGCAAACGAGTTAAGTTGGAGAGGGAGTCAGGAATTGACCCACAGAACAAGTTGTCCGAGATGTCCAAGGTCTGTAGATAAGGGAGGTTCCATGAAGTTGAGGTGAGTGAACCAGAGTAACCAACAGGGTCAATGGTGATCTCAGTGACTCGAGCATAACCAGAGACGACTCTATCGCACCTGAGCCCGCAAGTAAAATGCTCTGTGAAGATGTTATCACATGGGTCCAAGGAAAAATCCCATGAGGTCAAGCAAGATCCGGGAGCAATGGACAGGTGGTCCACCCCATGTTTCAGATCTTTGAGTACTTGTACATCAGCTGGATATGTTCTAGAGTTTGCAGCAAACAACAGCTTCGAAAATGTGATCATGAAAACAAGAAAACGTAGACACAGATAGAGGGTGCTAGAGAGTTTTGGCATTTTCTTCCCTGTTTCTTCTTTCCCCTCTTTCTGGTGGCCTGGGATTTTTCTTTGGATCTGAGATTGAAATGTGAGCCTGTGAGTGAGGGAAAGGAGAAGTAGAAAGAAAGTGGAAAGTGGAGAGCTTAGATGAAGAGATTTGATTGTATGGTACGGCTATCATCGGATTTGTTTTATACTGTATATATATTACGAAATGATGTAAGCTTTGACCATCTGCGAGATTTTGCAAGAAACGGTCGAAGCTGACCAGTATGTATGAAGCAAAGCAAAATGATTTTTGACTCCCACCATCCCTATATTAATATTGTTTTCCTGGATTTCATGTGCACTCCTGAGTTTGTAATTTGTAATTGAAAATGATTCTCAAAACTTGTGAGAGAAATATTTGTTTTAGATCTCACAAGCTATGACGCATCTCTGACAACCTGATCACACGAACAGAGAGGGTGAACAAGGACGACGTTTAATCTTGCGGATGAATGCCCATAATTCTGATGAAGACAAAATACAACGGGCTTATATTCGATTCAATGTAGTATTTAACTAGACCAAATAATTACCAGGTTTATATATCTTCTTTAGCACAGTGTAAAGTGATTTAAGTGAGATACGAGTTGAATTTCAATGAGAAGACAAAAGAAATTAGTAAAATTTTTCTTAAACTTGTTGTAATTACATATACAATACAGAAAGTGTTTTTCTGTTTTGTGATGTTAGTGGGAGCAATTGCCTCAATTGTAAATCCGCCTCTCCCCCATAAAGTACAAGTGTCTAAGAGCAACTCCTGACAGAGTCCTCATATTGAACATGGGGTTCCAGAGTTTCTAACATTTCTTTGTGGCACTAGTCAGATATTGCTTCACACAAGTTTGGTTTGTCTCGAAGATGAATGGCATTCCCCTTATCTGCAAAATACCATTTACAGCCCGTCAAGATGGTTCATATATCCAAACATATCATAGCTTTATAGTTCTCTAAACATTCATAGCGCAAGTCGGATACAAAAAAAAGCAGGTTAACTGCATCACAGGATGCATGTTGCAAATGTTCAAAAAGAAATGAGAAACAGCACCTCAATTAAACAACTGGAATTAAGGATCAGGCTCTGTCCAGGAGCTACTTCCTTGCTATTTATCGATACTGAACACCTGCCGAGATTTTTAAGATGGAAAGATCCATCTTCTTCCAAGTTGATAATTGCCTGAATATATGAGAGGAACCAAAAAAGCAGTACAACAGGTTAATGGGCAACTATTTACGTGGTAACTATTTATAGCAATAATGGTTTGACTGTTCTTGAAATGCTCAGAGAATAAAGACAAAATAAAACATATGTATTATATAAAATACATAAATATACCCAAGTCATAGCAAATCTTACCTGCCGCCTTGATACTTTATTAGCGCACCCTTCTCTTCCCAAGTCAATGTCAACAACAAAATCTTCTGTTGTTCTACCAAGTAAAATCTACACAAACAAAATTATAAAGTATTACAGAAAATTTGATCATCAATTTTAGTTTACTTATCTAGGAAGAAAAAACTACAATCTCTACTAACTTCAGAAAGCAAGCTCCAAAAAGGAAACCATGGAATTTTGTTGAAGTTGTGTAAGTGTAAACTTTAGTAACTCCATGATCCCAATTAAGCGTATAACAAGAATAGTGACAAAATACTAGACAGTTCCTTGGACAATATAGTTTCCTATCTAGGAATAGTCTTTTATCCAGTGTTTGGCTTAAAGCCTTTAAACAAATATCAATAAGCACTTCACAAAGCATAGCTTTTTAACTGGACTTGGTTAAGGGGGTAATCACTCAATCGAACATAGCATTATTATAGCAAATATCATTAGCTTTAGAATACCTCAGGTTTCTTAATATAATGTTTGGAATGGCGGCCATATAAAATGGCAAAGGCTCCACGCGATGCGATGGCCCTTTGCATATAAGAATGGGAACCCTGCTCCAGCCTTATAATTGCTCTTTTAGTGACCTCACGCTGATATCTAGCAACTGCACAGGGAAAAGTAAAAATTATCTTCCATGTCTAGAAGACTTATTTCAGAATCAAATAAGAAAAAATCAAATTTGAACTACTTGCTACAGGTGGAGATGGAGAAGCAAGATAAGACATAGCCCCTTTTTATCTCTTCTCTACATGCTGACAGAAGGAGGTGGACCATAACAGTAACTCCATGCATTACTAAACTACTAGAGCAGAACATTGACAGATACAGATACAAGTTAGCAATTTAAAAATTCGTGGGTTGACATATTACCTTCCTGATCACACAAATCTTGGTCATCTGGATCCAAGTCCATATCAAGGATCTGGTTCATAAAGTAATGAAATAACATGAATAAAAGGAGTCAACAATAATGACAATAATAAAAGTGACAACCAGTAGTAGTTGAAGACATACCATTGCCTCAGTATCTGAGAAATAAGGAACATCATCATCACTTTCAATCAGTAACTCCTCCAGATCTGGTGGTGGAGGATCAATAACTGGTTCAGGAGAAATAATATCCATGGATCCCACCTCTGTACTTGAAGCTTGGTGATCTCTAATCATTTCTGGAGGATCCATTTCTTGTTTAATGGCAGAAGAATTCACAAGTGGATAGCTGTTGTGGCCATCAGAACAAAGAGCTGGTTTCTCTATTAAAGAATCAACTGAACTATGAATCCGATGCTTTCCCAGTAAAAATTCTTCACTCTTTTCCTTTGTCAGTGTAGGTGGGAGAGTGCCTTCACTAACATTTATGGAATTAATTTGAGCTGAATTATTGGCTAGAAGACCATCACTTCTGGGTGCTACACATGGGGAATCCTTGCATTTAACTCTGCAATCACTAATTGGATGGAGTTGACCCATTTCTGCTATCATCTTTGATGCTTTCATTTGAGGAGACCCATGAGATTGCCCTGGATCTTTTTGATCTCTCTGGCCAAGGAGGGAACCTCCCTCACTAGTTTTCTGACCCCCAGAAAAATCATTCACACATGCAGATAATGGATTGCTGGCTTCTTTGAAATTCCGTCGTGTTGCAGAAACTACCAATGGGCACAGCTGTTTGGCAAAGACAACATCTTCGTTGCATGGAATTTCTGCATCCTCAGTGTTTAATGTGCAACAAATGATGCCATTAGTCAGTTCAGGGAACTGACTGTCTGAAGTTGATGCAGAAGAAAGCATCAGGACCTCTGAATTGCGAGACACAGGCCCATCCACACTGCAAGATCCTGCAACTTCATCCAATTCTCCAAGACGTGAACAAGACACTTTTCCAAGATTATCTGGAGTTTCTGATGTCATCAGTTCTGTTAAATCAGCCATCTGATCTTGATCAACATTATTTGGTGAACTTGCCAAAAGTGAGCTCAGACCATCAAAGTAAGACTTATCAATCACATCTTTTGCATCGACATCCATGAAAAAAGGTTCATCATTCATAAGGGTATTGGTTATTTCCACCAAATAACCTTCTGTATTAGCCGTTTGATTTTCCAACTCCTCACATGGTATTGCTGATTCCAACTGGGATCCTGTATCAACAACATCATGTCCTGATACACGATTGCTTTCAGCAACATCATCACCAGGAAGTGCATAGATATCACCTGCATGCAGGTCTTTTTCCCCACAACCATCACCTGTAGGAATAGCAGATGCAGACAAGCCATCATGAGCTCTCCAGATTGACAACCCACACTCCACAATTGGTGAGTTGAAGACCTGGTTACCCTCAAGCTCAGAGCAGATATTCTCTGGGTCATTGTTAATTTGGTCAAATGTAGATGAAGGTTTTACCATTAAATCATTAGACTCAAACAAGCTGTGCACAGGCAATTCCTTGGGTTGATGCAATTCCTCAATGCCAGAGCCACTCTCAACAAGAAACTGATTCTCTCCTAGTATATGAGGAATTTCCTTATGTATTTTAACTGGCTCTGCAGGAAAACCATCATCATCTTGCTTAAGAAAGCTTGTCTGAAAGCCATCCGTTGTGCACCCATCCCTGGTTCCAGCACCACCATCTCCTAATATTTGCGGAAAAGAACAGTGCATAATATTCTTATTTGTTTCTTGAATTCCAAAATGATCTGAGATTGGATTTCCAAGCATGCAATTACCAGGTAGGCTCTCATCTTCAATCCCAACATAGTTTCCATCATTAGGCACAATAAGAAAACTCAGATCCATTGAGTTAAAGGGCTCATTCCGAATTCTTTTACGCAATGCATAGTAACAGCTACGAACACTCTCAGACTTTCTCTTCCCAGACAAGCTTCTATTATCTTTTGGATTTCCTGTTCTGCCAAATCTCAAAGACAGGGTAGAAGCAGAACGTTCAAACTCAATCATGCGAGATGAAGCCTCCTCAGAAACAACCGGATCATAAAGGAGAGAATGCCATCGCTCTTGTAGTTCTCGAACAGTGAATTTTCTAGAGAATTGCACTGCACCCTTGGCAAGAGATTCCAAAGAAGCACCAGCCTGCAAACAGATAAATAGAATGAAACAGGCTTCACAACTTAGAAACATAATTTAGAGGACAATAAACAACAAAAGGAAATTCAATTAGTGTGAGGTGAGAACTACATTCTAACTGCACAACTCAGATCCCATTTTCCAGTGTTATCAATATTCATGCAGTTGCATAAAGTTGCAACTTGTAGTATCAGACCAACCACAAGCAATCCACTCTATTGATAGATTTTACAATAATACACCTCTGAAACAACAACAGAATAATCCTCTGAATCAGATTCCCAAATTTTATAAACGTAAATGCAAGAATCTTCTAACTCTTTTAATGACAGACGCCTTATATTGTAAACAATTCCTGCCTCAACACAATAAACCCAGAATTTCAAAACCAGAACAGTGACAATGCCACACATCCACAAGACTAAAAGAGACATTTAAATAAACCCTGCAATTCCAACAACTAAAATAAGAAGATAGAAGGGGGGAGACAATACAAAGGCATTAGCATTCAGCTACTAGAAACAACAAAGAGAACCCAATTTAGCCATGAGTGTATAGTTCCTTCCACGTTGACAACAAATACAAACACAAGAGAGTTCGAATTGGGGGTCACAAGCAAAAGCAATTCTTGAAAACAAGAACAGCACCGAAAACCCAATCGTTAATTTTCTCGAAAAATAAAGTTCATTAAACCAAACAAGAAAAGGAAAAACGAAAAACTAATTACCTCAATAGCGTTCTTCAACAAAAGGTCATCTTCAGGTATCCAAGAGGAGACGACTGGAGCCAGAGCCCCCATCTCCTTGGAGCTCAACCAACCTCTCCCTTTCTTTTTTTCTACTTCCTCTTCGCACGATTTCTCTCCCGGAAGCGTCGTTTTGGTTCTCTCTGAATGAGAAACATGAAAACAGCAAGAAAAAATAGAGCAAAAAAAAAAAAAGACGAACAGGTGGGGTTTAAGAGGAAACCTAAAACTAAAAGCCAGAGAGCATG